TATTATAAACATGGCGTAGGACACTGTAACTATGTCTTTCGGTGACAACATAATAATAACATAATAACATAATAATAACATAATAAGTATAAATTTCAGTATCAATCACATTATCGATAGATCTCACAGTGGAAGAAGACGGTTGTTTCTGAATTCCTGAATTTTCGAGATGCTGCGCATCACAATCGGAAAGTGATCCAGACTTGGTATCCGCTCCAGGTTCGAGAGGTAACGCAGATGGCCTGCGACGTGGATGCAGAAGCAGGAGGTTCCTCCCTGCCGTTTGCGGATGGGCCGATCGTTGCATCTCCGGCTGCAAAACAAGCCGAAGATCCGGGGAACCGGTTGCACAAAGGCTCTCCCCAGCAGGAGTGTCCACAGTAGAAAGCTGTAGCAGTTGGTGGGCTACTTGACAGCAAAAGAGGCGACTGCAACTGCTGATCAGGGTTTAAAAAAAAAGAAAGAAGCAAGTCAAATGATGTAACACGCTTCATATTCATGGCGAAGTGAATTTAAAAAATTTTAAACGATGCAATACTAGGGATACAAAAATCTTCACGGGGAGCTTTAATGGCTTACAGTGCAGAGCGGTTTTTTGGGCTGTAGGCCTGTTTTCATCGACGTTCATTAACAAATGCAACGAAAATATATACTGTACTTCACTGTGGAAGAAAGAAACATTACCGTATTTCTTCGAGCGAGGTCTTCGGAACCCCCAAGAATGCTCCTCAGCACGCGCGGCGGAATTTTCCGACGGAAAGGTTGTGGATTGTTTGTTTAACTTTTCTCTCTTCAACTCGTTATTGTGTTCTAAAAAGGGGACATCATCAATTTTGCGTGTGTCTTATAAAAAACCTTCCGGGAGGTTGCTACCTTTTCTGGTGATACAGTTCTCCTTAAAAAACTGAAATTTTATTGGGGAAAATCTGCTTGACATCGTCATCATCCTCAGCCATTCACTACCCAGACAGAAAAATAAATTTGAATGCATAAGTATGTTGAAAACTTCACCTTAAATAACCGAGTTAACCAAAGGTCATCCCTCAGTTGCTCACAAATCCGTACCTGAAAGTAGGGAGCTTTTTCAAGTACAGTGAGACCCCGAGATGCGGACTTAATTGGTGTATCAAGAGTGTCCCTAAGTCGAAATGTCCTTAAGTCGAGTCTTGTTTTCCCATAGACTTCCATTATATTATTTTTAATTGGTGTTTTCTGAAAGAAATATTGATCAAAATTCCTTTTTAAAATTTAGGAAAAAAATTCTACTGATTAAAAAATTATTAAATCAGTGTTTTTCAACTCATGTAAAAAATCTGGAGCATTGGGGACATAAAACATTCACAAAATGCACAATTTCTGTGCTACTGCTGAATGTTAAGATACATCAATTCAGCAAATGTCCTCTTCTCTTCCTTTCTTCTCCAGGTGCGGCATCTTTATGATTTCTTTTTTGAGTTCCACAGTTGGATGTTCTTGTCTTCTTAGAGGAAATTTTCCACTTTTTTTGATCTAGCCTTCTTGAAATTAACCTATAAAACTTGGCTTTTTGTCAAGCAAAAAGTTGAGAATAATGTTTTTCAACAGTTTCTTAGGAACATATAGGGAAAAATATCTAAGTAAAAATGCTGTACCTCTGTACACTATTGAACATTGAAATGTTAGAATTTCCTGCAAAAATTAACTTAGACAAAAAGAGAAAAGGAAATCCCTTCTTTTTGAGAATCTCTATTCTTGAGATACTTTTTAAAATTAGCTAAATGGAGGGGAAAATGATGACAGAATTTTAAAACAATTTTTTTCACATTGATCTTACCATCCTATGGTTCTGAATATCTGTTCCTAGTAATTTGGCTCAAAAAAAGCGATTTTCTGAAAATTTTGATGTCCACAGGTTGAGTCAGTGTCCGCAGGTTGGGTCTTTTTAAATTGAAAATGAAGTGTCCCTAAGTTGAATTGTCTGCAGTTTGAGGTGTCCGCATGTGGGGGTCTCACTGTACCTGTAAAATATTTCTGATGCTTTGAGTTTGCAAATGAACTGTAGGAAAATTCCTTCCGCTCCTGCTGTTGCTTTCTCACACAACTTTCTATCAGATCTTCCTTTAGCGTGTTCAAGTGTTGGACTGTAATGCTGTCCAATGCAAAGTAAAAAATCTTCAAAGTCTTGAGTTCAAGTTTGTACAAAGTTTTATTCTTGTAGCACACAGACTTGCTACCTTGCTTCTTGAGTTCTGATCTTGTTCTGCTCTCTACTCTTTCAAACACCCAACTTTATACATCTCAATTTCCCCCTTCCCAGGAAGCTTAAAAGCTTCTTGAACAACTGCAAAACACTCACACGAATGGATGGAAATGCACTTAAAAGCCCCATCAGAAGTTTCCAAATGTTCAAAATAAATCTTGTACAAATGCACAGAGAACAACTGGGATGCATGGGGAGGAAGGTTTAAATCTTCCTCATAGAAAATTTTCAATGGGAGGGCTTCTATTTTTAGGCAGAAAGTCCAACTGCAAATTGAAATTCTCAGTGGGCAACCACTTGACTTTCTTCCAATTTTTTCAGAGTTTCTGTTTTAAATGGACTTCCTGGAATATCCCCTTAGTGGAGCAGCTGCTCCCAAGGATGCTTTTAACTCTGTCCTGGCCCCCAACAGGTGGTGACTGTCAGGAAAAAATCTAAACTACGTAATTTTTGCAACAATTCTAATAGGCACCAGACAAAATTATCAATGCATTTTTTGTGAGCCTGAGAACCGAACCCAGGTTTGGTTCCCAGGCTCACCCAAGGACGTTTCCTAAAAACGCGAAAGGGGAAAGAATGAAAGTGCCAAAATCCAGCCTTCATTCTTAATCCAAATAGTTGTTGCGGTTAACTAAAAACCCCTGGATTGTCACTCTGCGTTGAACTCTCAAGTCAAGCAGATCTCCTGAGAACTCTTGCAAATTTGCATGTGTCAAAAATCTTAAACCAATTCCGAAATTGGTTTCTTCTCTTGTGCTTGTGAAATTCCTTCCAATTGCTCAAATTCAACTTGTCTTGATTGATAAAACATTTTGAACTAGGACAACAAGTCCCGGCCACAGCCCGACTGTTTGAACTGTGTTTCACTTTCTCTCAATTATCAAAATCTGTTAGGAAGTTTGTACTCTCTCAACCTTCTATATTTTTTGCCTTTTGTGTGGTAAAAGAAAGTTCCTCTGCAAATCTTTCCTCACAGTGACGCCTCAGGGGGTCTGGACTTGAGGGCAGGAAGGACAAAAATATCTGCAGCTGCGCGCATCCTAAATTCGAGTTTCCTTTCAGGGTTTTGAATAAATTTTTATAATACAATTGTTACAAGTACCCAATGCAGGGCACGGTCTGATCATGTGCTTTCTTCTCGGATTATTCTTCTGGCAATCCTAACAGAAGCCTTCCTTTAATTTCACCAGGAGTTTCCGATCTGCAAGCTCGTGTCAGCTCTTTCTCGTGTCAGCTCTTTCTCGTACATGCACGAGGATGACAACAACAACACAAGCTCACGAGATATATTTCGAAGCGTGGAAATACCGGGCAAGATTAAACCTGGATCAGACAAATAGAAAGATTCAGGTTTCAAGACAAGCAAATCCCGTGGACGGAGATGATTCATTTCAGTCCTTTACTCAGGGTTCAAGCAATTTCAAATCAAAAAGGTGACTATTTTTGATTTCAATGAAACACAATCTTCCGTCGAGGTTCTTCAAAAATATGCTACGTTGATTTCAAAGGTACGCATTCTTGAGCTGATCCCACGTTTATCCGGATCACGAAGTTAGAAGGAAAATACTGTACTCTACTTTCGAAGTGAAAGTATTGGGTTGCATTTTTTATGGCAGTTTATTTATTTATTTTGTTTTTCTTTAGCGCTGATGGGCAAAATAACCCAACCTTAAATGCAACATATTGACTTTTTTTTATAGCATACACCACATTATCTAGTTAACCGAGGGTCTTCCCTCAATTACTCACGAATCCGTACCTGAGAGTATGGATGTTTTTCAATGATGTCGCTCCCAATGCAGGGCAAGGTCTAATCTTGAAATTTCTTCTCGGAGTAATCTTCTGGCGTTCCAAACAGAAGTCTTCCTTCAATTTCACCAAGAGTTTTCGGTCTTCAAGCTTGAGTCGGCTCCTTCTCGTGCTCGATGTTGGTGGATGACAACACCAACACAAGCTCACGTATGTATACATATTGTATTAATATTGTATATAATTGTATTTATTTATTCTTGTTTATATTTTAAAGCGAGGAAATACCGGGTAAGAATAAAACCTGAATCAGGAAAATAGACAGGGATTATTCATTTCAGTCCCTCATTCGGGGTTTAACCAATTTAAAATGAACAGAAGACCATTTTGATTGCCTCAGAACACTTTTTCTGTCAAGGTTCTTCCAAAATATGCTAAGTTGACTTCAAGGGTGCGCATTCTTGGGTTCGATCACAGGTTCAGGTTTGTCCAAATCACAAGGGTAGATGGAAAATATCTTCTAAATTTAAAAATGGGTAATTTTGGTAACACACCGAATTGCAGGTCGTTTAAGTTGAGAATTCGGCGATAACCTTAGAAAAATTCAAAGCCATTCCTCAACGCAAGGAAATGATGTCGCACCAAAATCAGAATACAGAAAAAACATCACCCACAATAACGCTAAATTGCAATTAAATTTTGAAACGATTCAAGCAAAAAATTAACTAACGTAATCGAAAATTTGTCGGACATTTCAGCTAATGCGTTAATTGTCATCACTGAGGAAACCGTTCGAAAAGTGTTTCAAAGCGTTCACCGCATTCAAAGCTTCAAAGATTGCTCAGTACCGCAAAATGAAAATCACTTCTCATCACGACAATCAGAACATCACGAATTCCCTTCGAATCATATTTCACCGCTGATCAAATTACATTCAATGCCTGCAACAACAAAAATACAAAACACAGTCAGTTATGGCCATTAAAAACTACACATGCTTCTGCACTTCGTAAATCAAATTCTGAAAAAATGAGGAGTGGACAACAACGGACCCAAGCTCAATAACAGGCAAACAATTTTTAAAATGTACGTGATTCTCCCATGAACATTTGCACTCTTGGATAATGAGCAAAAAATAAGGTCATGCGCAATCATAAACTAGTGTCCATCACGTTTCGAATCCACCCCGGTAACAAAAATTACGTTGTTCATGAATTTCCGGAGATGGAAGGCCTACACATTAGTTCTATATCACCCATCAATCACTCAAAAAACATTTCAGAAGTCAACAGATAGGAAGGATTAAGGAAGCAGGTAATCGAAGTTAAGCACGAAGTCGGAAATCATAGGAAAGTTTCATGTAGAAAAAAAATCACTTCAGAAAGAACTTCAGTTCAATGAGAATCACCGAACGGAAACCCGCACTAGACAGGCCAGAGAGGCACGTTAGTCACTTCCGCTTCTTTCTACGTTGCAGATACGTAACGAGACGTGAATGTTCAAGAGAATGTCTTAGACTAGAGTGAATCCTTCGGTTTGTTGGATTGCCAACAGAAGCTTTTCTCTCAGCACTTGTGCGCTCTTGTATCGAGGAAGGTCGAGCAGGTTGAAGCAGGTGTGAGCTACCGGGAAGTATCGTTCACCACCTCCCGTCGGCTGGAATAAAAGCTGAAGAGAAAAAACGAGACTTGAGTGAAAAAATCCGAAAAGACAAGGCGCGCGAATTCTCTGGTTCGTAATACGGGGTATGCTTAAACATTAAACTGAAGTAGGATCCAAGTACAGTTCAACCTCGATAATTCGAACCTATCTACGTCAAATTTTTTTCACGCCCCTGTCTAAATTCCCATAGAAACAATGCATTAAAAACATTCCTAACTCGACGGCTTTCCTTCAAAATTTGAATTTTCTGGTAACCTTTTCGCTATTAATTTATTGTCACATGAGGGAGAAAAGCAATAAAAATTCAACTAAATGCGTCTTGAAAGGAAGTGAAAGACTATTCGGGTGAATAAAACCCTTGTTTCCAAGTTCAGCATCGGGTCTATTCACGAAGAAATGTAATGCCCTGATCCCAGAATATTGCCAATTACAATTTCCTGTAATTATTCTTTCTTCCCCCAACATAAATTTGTTTTTCCTAATTTGAAAACCTCCACAATTTCTTTCGAAGTCTCGTAAAATTAGAACTGATTGTGGAACTGATCTGTACCTTTACAGATTTCATGCCGAGAATCGGTATCCTGTCAGTCCCCGTGAGAAATTTGAGGAAGCGCTTCTTCTCATCCGTCGTCAATCCATGGAAAACTTGCCAAAATATCCTGACGGTCGGGTCATCTTTCGTGTAACCGTTTTTGTACTCCGAGCTCTGCAAATTCGCCATTCCATAATCCCGGATACTGATCTCTACAAACTTTCACGGTCAGGTCTAGTCACCTTTTCCAATTGATCCCAATCGTAGTCCTCGTTGCCAACGACGAGCTCCATCAATTCCTCAGCTTTGAAGAGCGACAGAATGTAGCTTCCACACAC